AACTGGGTCTCCCGTGTGAGTGGCAGGGGTCCAGGCACTTGGGTGTTCGGTCAGAACTGGAGCAACCATAACTTGAACTGGTGCTGACATGGGATGGCAGGTTCACCTGCTGTGCCAAAATGCTGGTCCTAAGGATTCTTTTTTTGCTCACAACTTTCCTTGAGAGAGAGAGAGAGAGAGAAAGAGAGAGACAGAGACAGAGAGTGAGAGATTTATTTTGAAAGGTAGAATTCCACAGAAAGAGGGACACACACACACAGACACACCTTCCATCCATTTGTTCACTCCCCAAAAGACTGCAATAGCCAGAGTTGAGAGTTGAGTCAGGTTTAAGTCAGGAGCCAGGAGCTTCATCTGGGTTTCTTAAGTGGGTGGCAGGGGCCCAAACAACTTTTGCTTTTTCCAGGCCGTTACCAGGGAGCTGGATTAGAAGTGAAGCAACTGGGATGTGAACCAGCACCCATATGGGATGCCAGCACTGGAGGTGGTAGCTTTACTTACTGTGCCACAACCCTGCAACTTTCTTTAAAAAAATCCTTTAAAATTTAGGTCAATATTGTGACCCAGCAGATTATGCTGCTGCTTGTGATGAAAGCATCCCATGTTGAGGTACAGTTTTGAGTCCTGGTTGCTCTGTTTCCAATCCAGCTTCCTGATAATTGAACAGAGGATGACCTAGGTACTTGGGTTTCTGCCATACTCTGTGGAAGACTGTAACAGAATTCTTTGCCTCTGGCTTTGACCTGGCACTGTCCTGGCTCTTGGAGCCATCTGGAAAGTAAACTGGTAGATAGAAGATCTCTCTCTCCTCTCTCACTTTCTTTATTGCTGTGATACCCTGCCTTTCAAATAAATACATCCTTTTTTTTTTTTTTTTTTTTAAAAAAAAGGCAAAGCTAGCATTGTCCCAGTGAGGAGCTGTTTGGTCAGCTGAGGCTCAGGATGAAGACAACGGGAACAGAACCAGGACCCTGTGAGGGATGTGTCACGCCTGTGGGCTCAAAGCTTTGTTTCGGTAAAGCCACTAACACTGAAAGGTTGTTGGTCCTTGCAACCTAGCAGCCTAGGCTGACTGATGCTGCTGTTAAACCAGATTTATGGAAAGCCTCTTATGTAAGTGTTTGCTCCATGATTACTCTTTGATCCTCCACAGACTTAAGCCATTAGCAGTTTTTACATCAGCCCAGCAGCCTACTTCGGACTGAAACAGATTTGGAACTTACTCTTCCACAAATCGGATGATTTCAGAGTCCCTGGAATGTTTGCTGTCAGGGGATGTCCCGCTTTTCACTTCTACAACCTACTGTGGTCAAACATGCAGGTAAATTCTTCCAAACAGATTAGGACATGCCTGATATGCAAACACAGAGTCAACTCGGGGACACACACACACAGTGTTGGTTGGCTGTGGTGGGGTTGGTTGGAGAGGGCAGAGATTGTTGAAAAGGACAATGGGTTGAGGCTGTGCCCACAGCCTTCCTCAGCTGGCTCATGACCTCTGCGAGCTGAGCATCTTTAGACTGCCTTCCAGAATAGCACACTTTCTGCCCCATCCCTAGAGTCTCCCTTGCTGTTGCTAGAGAGTAGCCCTTGTACCCTGTTATTGATGATCACTTCAATGCAAGAGGCAGAGATGGAAAAGAAAAACTCAGCCAACAATGGATTAATAAGTCAGTTTCAGATTCTGTTTGAGAAGTCAGCTTGGGGGAGCCAGACTGGTAACTCAACTGATTAATCCTCCGTCTGCAAGCACCAGCATCCCATAACAGCACCTGTTCATGTCCCAGGTACTTCACTTCCCATCCAGATCCATGCTTGTAGCTGGGAAAGCAGTAGAGGATGGCCCAAAGTCTGTTGTCTATGTTCCCACTAAACTAATGTCTTTTTGTTTATTTTTCCTTTATTTTTTTTAAAGAAAATCATTTTTAAAAAAGATTTATTTATTTTTATTAGAAAGTCAGATATACAGAGAGGAGACAGAGAGGAAGATCTTTGTCCACTGATTCACTCCCCAAGTGGCCACAACAGCTGGAGCTAAACTGATCCTTAGCCAGGAGCCAGGAGCCTCTTCCAGGCCTCCCCTGTGGGTGCAGACTCCCAAGGCTTTGGGCCATCTTCTGCTGCTTTCCTAGGCCACAAACAGGAAGCTGGATGGGAAGCGGGGCTGCTGGGATTAGAACTGGCGCCCATATGGGATCCTGGTGCTTGCAAGTCGAAAACTTTAGCCACTAGGCTACCACTCAGGGCCCTATTTTTACTTCTTAAACTTATTTGGTGAATATTAAGCCCTTTTTTGTAGTATAAATATAGAATATGATATTTCTTTTTTCAATAATTTTTTTCTAAGATTTATTTATTTTTATTTGGAAAGTCAGATATACATAGAGGAGGACAGACAGAGAGGAAGATCTTCCATCCAATGATTCACTCCCCAAGTGACCGCAATGGCCGGTGCTGTGCCTATCCGAAGCCAGGAGCCTAAAACCTCCTCTAGGTCTCCCACACGGGTGCAGGGTCCCAAGGCTTTGGGCCATCCTTGACTGCTTTCCCAGGCCACAAGCAGGGAGCTGGATTGGAACCAGGGTTGCCAGGATTAGAACCGGCGCCCATATGGGATCCTTGTGCATTCAAGGCGAGGACTTTAGTCGCTGGGCCACGCCGCCGGGCCCTAGAATATGTTATTTCAAAAGTTAAAAAGAAGACAGAAGGGAGAAGGAAGGAGCGTGAGCGTGAGGGGGAAAGGAGAAACGGAATGTTATTGGTTTCTTAGAATAGGTTTAACCTGGGGCCCAGAGTGATGGCTCAATGGCTAAATCCTCATCTTGCAAGCGCCAGGATGCCATATGGGTGCTGGTTCATGTCCCTGCTTATGGTCTTGGAAAGCAATAGAGGATGGCCCAAAGCCTTGGGACTCTGTGCCCACATGGGAGACTTGGAAGTAGCTTGTGGCTCCTGGCTTCGGTTCTGCTCAGCTCTGGCCACTGTGGCCATTTGAGGAGTGAACCAGTAGATGGAAGATCTTTTGTTGTTGTTGTTTCTCCCTCTCTTCGCCTTTTCACCTGGTCTGCTTTTCCAATAAAAATAAGTGAATAACTTAAAAAAATAAGAATTGCATTAATCTGTTAAACATTAATTAAAAATTAAATTAGCTACCACAAACTGGGAACTTGTAAAACAGCCGTGAGTTATTGTCTCTTAGTTCTGGAGGCGAGAAGCCCCAAATCAAGATGTTAGAGGATCACAGGCCTGCTGAAGGTTCTAGAGCAGAATCTTCCCTTTCCTCCCAGTTGCAGTGGGCCACCTCTAGGCAACTTCTGTCTCCCTCTGTGGCTATGTTCACATCTGCCTTTCCTTTCTCTTCAACTTTTTTTTTTTTTAAGATGAGAGAGAGAGTTCTTTCATTCACTGGTTCTCTCCCTAATGGGCACAACAGCTTCAGTCTGGTTGAAGCCAGGTGCCTACAACTATGTCCAGTTCTCCCACATGGGTGCATGGGCTCAAGTACCTGGGCCATCCTCTCCTGCCATCCCTGAGCACATTAGAAGCGAGCTGTTTGGGAAGTGGAGCAGCTGGGACTCCAACCAGTGACATGGGCACTTCCACAATGCCAGCCCCCTCTTTTCCCTTAACAAAGACATCAGTTCAACCTTCCACAGCTCCCACTGGTGGTACAGCTTGGCATGATGCTATGGCATATGAAAGAAAGGTCTTAGATGAAGACTTGCGGGAAGCAATATGAAAAAGGGAAGGCCCCCATCAGAGACGACAGGTAGGTCCCCGAGAAATGAGTCTGCAAGCTGGGTACAGGAGAGGCTGTAAGAGGGGAGGTTGTAAAGGCGGGGCAAGGTGTGTCTCAGTAACCCAAAGGCAAGGCCGGCACAGAACCCAACTGCAGAACCCTCCTGTTCAGCAGGAGCCCAGAACCTGCAGGCAAGAATCTCGAACAGTGTCCATCCCATAGCAGAACGTTCAGAATACACATAGAATAGAGGAACAGACAAAGCCGACTTGCAGCTAGCAACGGAGAGGAGGAAACACACAACGGGACCTCTGGAGGTAGATTATTGCAGGACCCGACAGGCACGCGTCATTCTAGAACCCGGGGCCCGTAACTTGGCACCTGCTGGAGACATGGGACATCCCTCAAGTTCACACCTCCAGCGACCCACTGTCCTCTCTACACCTCATGTCCACGTCCACGTGTGCCCCTGCTGTGCGCCCTGCACCGCACCCTGCACACAGCAGGCCCTCACAAATGCACAGATCTACACAATGAAGTAAAAGTGGAAAAATCATCCAGATGGACGCTCTGGACTGCCGCACCCTAAAATGCCCCGCACACCGTCAGCGCCCTCCCACCGCCGATCTGCAGAAGCACTTGTTGAACCAAACCGAATGCCTCCGATTGGCCCAGCTCCGCGCCGGCGGTGAGGTCGGCTTTTGGCAGGAGCACAGATTCCATCACCATTCATTCTTATGTAAGAGAGAACGAGCCTCGCCACCCTCTCGGGGTCCCAGCCCCTTCCAGTCACGGCTGACAGGCCAGCCCGCTCCGGTCTCGGTTCACCACAAAGCTCCCGCAACACCGCAGCGCGCTCTGCCGCGCCGGCGTTCCCTCCGAGGGAGGCCCGGCCGCCGGTGCCCCGGCCCTTCCCGGCGCCCTGGGGGCTCCGGCGCGCGGTGGCAGCGGCCCCCGGAGGCGGGGAGACCGAGCCCGGGTGGTCCGCAGGGTCCCCGCAGGCACCCGCACGGCGGACACCGCGCATCCCCGCCCCTCGCCCGTCCCCACCGGCTCCCCGCGCCGCCCGGCACCCCCGGGACGCGAAGATGGCGGCGCCGCCCGGCTGCCGGCGGTGGCGAGCGGCCGAGGCGCGGCGAGCCGGGCTGGGCCGGCGAGGCCAGAGCGGCGTCTGAGAGGCCCGCGCCGCGGCCTCCTCCCCGCCCGCCGCCGCGCCCCGCCCCGCGCGCCCGCCCCTCCCCGGGCCGCGGCCGAGCCCCGCGTCGCGCTCCCCCGGGATGACCCGCGCGCCTCGGCGCTGCCCGGCGGAGCTCTCGGCGGAGCGGCGTCGGCCGCGCTCGGGGCGCGCGCGGTGGCGGCGGCGCGGCGCGTGAGGGCCGCCGGGGCCGAGCGGGCGCCGCCAACATGTCGGATACCAAGGTAAAAGTTGCCGTCCGCGTCCGGCCCATGAACCGACGAGGTGAGGAGCTTTCTGCTCGTTGTGATTTTTTTTTTTTTTTTTTTGCTCGGGTTGGGGCCGTGGTGTGCCGGGGTAACTTTGGAAACTGCTCGCCGGCCGGCGGGGCCGGGGAGCCCCCGGGGGTGGGGAGCCGGGGCGGAGGCGGCGCCCTCCCAGCCCGCCTTGGCCGCAGCGGAGCCGGGGAGCCCCGGGCGGCCGTCTCCCGGCCCCGCCGCCTGCAGGACGGAGCCCCCGCGCGGCGCGGCGGGCTGGGCGCGGATGCTCGACTTTGCAGCGTCGGTTTCCCCTGTGTGCTTTCAGAACTGGAGCTGAACACCAAGTGCGTGGTGGAGATGGAAGGGAACCAGACGGTCCTGCACCCTCCTCCTGCTAACACCAAACAGGGAGAAAGGTACAGCGCGCCCGGAGCGGGCGGGCGGGCGGGCGGACTGGAGGAAAACCCGTGCTCGCCGGCTTCTGCAAATTGGAGCCGGGAAAAACGGGAGTGCGCTCTCCTATTGTTAGGAGAAAGGCTTCAAGTTTGTCTCACGCTCCCAGTCGGACGGACTGGACGCAGTTGCAAGTCCAAGTTCCTCTTCTACCTCTGCCCACCCCACCCCCTTTTCCAGTCCCCTCCCATCTGGAGCGGTGTGAGGCCAGAGCCCCCAGGCCAGAGCCAGCGCTGGTCAGCTGTGCCCCCTGTGAGCTTCCAGACGAGTGCAGGTGCTGGAGACAATTAATGCAGCGGCCACATTGTACAGACAGGAAAATTGAGGCCGGAAGCAGGCAGTGACCAGTCCCAGCCCCAGTGTACCCGGGACGCAGTACACCATTGCATAGGTTTGCTGCCGTTAGCAGAGTTGTTTAGGAACCTTGTGTGTACAATGGGTGGAGAAATAAAGCAAAACGTTTTTGGGCGATGCAAGTCCAGGCTGGATCATTTACAGATCTAGATTTTTTTTTTTTGGTGGTGGTGCTGGGTAAAGATAATGCCGGAATGTAACACGCAGATTTTCGTTCTCAAGGCAACAAAAGTAGTGACCTGAACTGTATAGACCCTGGGGATGTTTAAAAGGGAGTTGCACTTACTAGATGGCAACATATTTGCATTTGAAAAGTGGTAACTGTTGGTTCTTTATAAATTCTCTTCTGTGGCGGGCAGCCGTATGGGAAAATGCCCTAAAATGATTTGAATATTTAGCATTTTTCTGGTACGTCTGTGAGAAGCAATCAGTTGGAATTAATTCAGTGTAGTAAGGCTGTAGCATGTTAAAATATATATGGGGGAAAAAAACCCCAGGAGACTTAGCAAAGTTAATTCTTTAGCCAGATGAGTTGGGGTTTCTGAAAGGCACCTGTTGATGGAGGAGTGCAATTAGTGAATTTTGCTCTTCAGAGGCTGATGTAGTTTAAAGATTGCAAATAGCAATTTTGCTAAATTTGGAGCAAGAAAATATGAGGGGGTAATATTGGGCATTATTTCTTTATGTACTAGGTCTAGCAAGTTTTAATTCAGTTTGCAAACGTTCCGTTACTTTGAACAGATTCTTACAGTGATATTAAATTGCTAAAATTATATTGCATTAAATACCTTTTAGTAATGAGATATTCTTGGCATTAGATAAGATTCAAAGCAATATATGGTATATTTCATGTTGATAGCAAACTCATTCCTTGGGAAAATTACAGAATTTGCAGATCAAATTTGATGTTTCCAAAGTTTCCCACCCCCTCCCCAAGATTGGGTATTGTTATTTTGCTTCACAAAAAAACTTGTGTTGGGACAGATCCTTCATATCAGGCTGGAAAACAGGTAGAATCTTTGACGTCCTGTGTAGCTGCACTGTGTGCCCTGCTGGTGTGGCACCTGCTGCTTGTCACTCTTGACCATACCGAATGCCAGTGTTAACAACTGAATGAAGTGAAGTGTGGTCATTTGTACGGACAGGTTTCATTTTGTGGAATGTGGGTCGAATTCATGGTTGTGGATTTGCAAATGCTAAATAGTCAGGAGGAGACCTTTTATTGATAGGCTTGCCATGTGAGTTACTAGTTAGGATATGTAAAGTGCAGATGTGTGGAGTGGTTTGGGGATTCATTCATCCCTTGCTGTTTGGGCAGAGTCCCTTATCTAGAGTTCGAAGAATAGCATTGAAATATGTGTGTTTGCTGCTTCTGTGCTTTTGACAGATCTGATTCTTTGGGCCCTTCTTGGGGGGCTCATGCAGCATTATTTGCAGTGGGTCATCCAGTTACTGGGGATGCCTTCGCAGGACTGCTACGTGTAGATTAAAGTTACCTTGTGGGATTGGAGACCCCTTGTTCATCGCAGTTATGCAACTTGGTTTCCTATTTCTCCATAGAGTGTGTTTTTTTTTCCTCCCCTTTAAAGCAACAGTAAAGTTAAAAATAGAAACAGTTCCTCCCTTGGGCTTTGGGTTGATTAATTGCAAAAGTGTCTCATGCTATAGTTACAGTTCCTTTCTATCTTTGTTTTTAGGTAAAGCTCAGGGTATAGTAAGGGTGAACCAATAGCATACCGAATGTTCGATATCCAGAAATCCAAGGTTTGGAAGAGGTGTTTAAATAAATATTGGCACACTGGTGTCAGAGTGGGAATTAAGACCTTTCTGGAATTGTGGGAAGTCACTGGTATGTGAAACGTGAGTCAACATTCTAGTTACTGTGTGGAAGTTTTCGGTCTTCCCAGGAAACAAGTGAGAGTGCACTGACCTCCAGGGAGAGAAGCAGGCAGGTTTAATTTTATCACTTTCACTCTTTGTGGAGCCTGTGACCCGGCTGAGGATCTGAAGCTAGAGATGTTGGTTTGGTGCTGAAGTTCTAGGATTGATTGCAATACATTGCGTAGGTCCAGGGTAATAGCCCACTGATCGCTGCTCTGACATATTAACACATACAAGGAGTTGTTTTTTAAAATCCAGGTATATTGCTATCCAGGAGGTTTTTTGAAATTCATGGGGTACCCTGTTTGGCTCAGGGGTTCCAAAAATGACTCTACTCACTGTGTGCCAGACTTCCTCGCCTTTGGCAGGTGCGGGAAGAGAGAGGAGAGAAAACTGTCAAAAGACAATGTGACAGGTTATGCAGGTGTATGCTTTGGCCATGACCTGCACTGTTAGGATCAGGAAGTTTCATTTCCTCCCCATCCTTGGGCTTGAGGCTGTGAGCTCCCTTGGGGACAGGCCCTGTCTTTACTTCCCTGCCTGTCCCAGGTCTCTGCTCAGTGGCTGGCCCAGAGCAGGTGTGTGCTCAAGTGTCTGCCATGTGGTGGGAGCACCGAGAGAGGCTGTGGAGCAAGCCGAGTCCTGACATTCCTGCAAAAGCAAGGGAGCCAGGTGGTGCTCCTGTGCTGAGAACATAGATTCCGTTTCACTGGGTCAGCAGAGCATTTTTGGTCAAGCAAAGCAGAAGCATAGCTATCGTGAATGACTTCTGGGGGTGACTGAGGGTGAGGATGGAACAGGATGTGGGTGCTGGAGAGTTGGCTGGGAGACAAGGGGAGGAGTGTGAATCTGACTTACCCCACTGGGTGAGTTAGATATATTGGGAAGTCTCACCACCACTGTCACCTTTGTTCTTCCCCTCCTTGTAGCACCTCCAAAGAGGGCGATCCTAGCCATCTGTTTTGCCTGTATTTTTTTCTTGCTGCATGTACATATTCATAAATAAGTGTACCTCATTTGTATGTATTTTGCTTTTATACATATATATTTGAAAGGCGGAGTGGCAGACAGATCTTTTATCCATTGGTTCACTCCCCACAGGCATGCACCAGCTGGGGCTGGACCAGGCAGAAACCAGAAGCTCAGATCTCTTGCACACGAGTGTCAGGGACCCACCTGCCTGAGCTGTCACTGCTACTTCTGATGTGCTGTATTAGCTGGAGTGGGAAGTAGAGCTACATTAGCTGGAGTAGGGACTTGAACTCATGATCTGGGATGCAGATATCTCAAGTGTGCCTTGTACACTATACCAAATACCCAGCCTTGTATGTATATTTTAATACACGCTTTTCGTATCTTTCAATACCAGTTGGTGAAGCGTGATTCATTCACTTTTACATCCAATGAAGATGGTAGTGGTCATTTTGAAATACAGATGGCCGGTTTTATGTCTTTGGTCCTTGTAAGTTTTAGAAAGAGAAGCTTTGTCATGAAAAAAATACGATGGAACTTGTTTTCTGCAGGAGATTTTGTTCTTGATTGTTTTATGTCAAGTCAATTGTAGGGCACGCAATGACAGTAAAGTGCATGTGTAATCTAACCTAGGTGAGTTCAAAAAAATATTGGGCAAAATAATGACACTGAGTAAAAGAGTATCCAAGGTTTTAGTTTCCCAGCCCGTTGTCCATACTGCAAGAGGAGTCTGTGTGTCTTGCCAAGTGCAGGAAGAAGGGCCTGATCAGTGGATGGAAGCTGTTTCTTTGTCAACTGAATGTATCTTTTCTGGTTTATGTCTTTGCATTGCAGGTTTTTATTTTCAATTTAACTTCTTCAGGCTTTCCAGGATTCCAGGGGATGGTGCCTTCTGTCCAAGTGTGTCTGTAGAAAGGAATACAAATTTAAAAAGACCCATCTCCTAAGACACACTAAGACTTCAGTATAAAATCACTTGTGGGACTTTGAATTCTGTTCTCTGCGTTGCTATTCTCTCTGACTTTATTGCAGTGCTGACAATAAGAAAGCAAGGAATATGTAGGTTTTGCTAACATGAGTGCGCATTTTGTGCACATAATTTTACTGGAATTTTTAAGAGCATTATAATGCATATTTTCATTATCTGTAAACATTTTCAGTTTATTCTCAAATAACGGTACATTGAAAACTTTCTTTTCTTATTTAAAGATTTACTTGTTTGAAAGTCAGTAACAAAGAAGTAATAAAGAGAGGCTCCTTCATCTGGGGTTCATGTCTAAATTGCCGCAGCAGTTAGGGCTGAGCCATGTGGAAGACAGAACCTTCAACTCCATCCTGGGTCTCTGACATGGATGGCAGTCCCCTAGTGCTTGGGACATTCCCTTTTACCTTCTTTAGGGAGGTGGAGCAGCAGGGGCATGAACTGGCACCCACATGGGATGCTGGCGTCACAGGAGGCAGCTTAACCATTGCACCAAAATGCCAGCCTCTAAAACCTCTTACTTTTATGAACAAAACATCAGTTGTAATACAGTGAAATTTAGAGTGATGATTTAAAAATTGCTTTGATTGTAGTCCACACTTAGGGTTCATTTTTACTTGATGAATCTCTGTATGTGTTTGTGTGTTATGAAGACTCAAAAATACTCTTTCTTATACAGCTATTGTTATTTTCTATCCTCTTTTGTTGCAGTTCATTTAAAATATGTTAGTTGTGATTTACCGTATTGATTTCACAACCCACTAAGGAGCCACA